GGTGTGAGGTGCTCCCAGTTGTCACGTGCTCACGGTTGGTGTGAGGTTCTCCCAGTTGTCATGTGCTCACAGTTGGTGCGAGATTCTCTGAGTTGATCCAGCTCTACTGGGACTTATGGGCCAGGGCTCAAACAGAACTCTTGCTACTGCCTCTTGGTCCTGGGGTCGAGTTAGGCAATATGTGGCTGTCATTAGCTGTGGGGCTGCCTCCCCAGGAGCAGTCTGATCACAGGCGGGGTTGTAGCAAGAGGAGCTGCAGGGGTCTCAGAACTCCAGAGAAGGGGTGTGAGTCTCTCACGAGGCATTCCTCCAACAGGTAGCCACAGAAGCTCTGAACGGAAGGACAGATTCTGTGTCACAGAAGCATCATGTCACGTATAGTAGGGCAGGATCCGGGGATATGCTAGGGTTGACATTGTTGTTATTTGGGACAGATTATCTTGTTTCCTAAGCTGGCCTCAGTCTCTAGCTGAGATTAACCTCAAGCTCCCGCTCTTCCTGCCCTCATCTCCCAAGGGCTGAGGTAGCAGGCGAGCACCATTAGGGCTGGTATGTGTGGTGCTGTTGGTAGGACATGCTGGGTGAGCACTTAGCTACCTTTCCAGCCCCGTCCTTCAGATGTGTCCCTCGTTACCTGGAGCTCAGTATTAGCTTCCAACACTTGTTTTGAATACGGGGCCTTATGTAGCCAGACTGGCCTTGGCCTCTTCACTCTCCTATTGCTGCTTTCTAAATGCTGGGATTGCAGGTGTGCTTACGTAGAGTACAGTGTGCAGTTCTGTGTGTAAGCTCCTGAGTTTTGGTGATATGGACCCATATAACGCAGACCCCACCTCCAATCCCCGTGACCCCAGGAGTGCTGGTCTGTGTTTGTCCTGGTTCCTTAAGAACTGGTTTCTTGGCCGGGCGGTGGTGGTGCACGCCTTTAATCCCAGCACTTGGGAGGCAGAGGCAGGCGGATTTCTTAGTTCGAGGCCAGCCTGGTCTACAGAGTGAGTTCCAGGACAGCCAGGGCTACACAGAGAAACCCTGTCTCGAAAAACCAAAAAAAAAAAGAAAAAGAACTGGTATCTTTAGGACAGTGAGAAGTGATGGCTGAGAGGGGAGAGGTGCTTGTTTTGCAAGGCTGACAACCTGCATGAGGGTAGAAGGAGAAAGCCAGCTGACTACGGTGCCCTCTGACCTCTCCCACATGGCTCTGTGACAGGCACGCCCAAGTTATAGCAACAACAAAGAGTAAATAAGAGAATTTGACTTTGTCCCTAGTAAAGCTCAGATCCTGAGAAGTCTTCTGAGATGTCAGTGCTAATGGGCAAACCATTCTCCCCTGCCTGGCTCACAGGGTCTTGACAATGTTCACAAACAGAGGGTGGCTGAAGTACTAAATGACCCTGAGAACGTGGAGAAGCGGAGGAGCCGGGAGAGTCTCAACGTGGACGTGGTCAAGTACGAGAGTGGCCCTGACGGAGGGGAGGAAGTGAGTATGAGCGTAGAGTGGAATGGGGTAAGTACAGCACGCTGGCTGCCCCCCCCCCGGGCGGGACCCGCCGGCCTCCCCAGCGGCACTCGCTGGCTGTCCTGTCTCACGCTAGACTCGCCACTTTTCGCAAATTAAGCATCAGGGAAGCTTTCTGTAAGTTCCTAACTTCTGCTAACTCTGAAGCCGTGTTGCTTGCAGTAGTTTTCTTTAGGAATCCGTGAAAGCTGACTGGCCTCTTATAGAGCATGTGTGCATGCTGACTGAGTGTCCTGGCCGTGTAAAAACCTCCTCCACACTCTGGTTTCCTGTAACCTGGGGATGGGCATGGCTGAGTAACTAGCTTCCCTAACTCCCCACGTCCTGCTAACTCCGAGCTCTTGACACCGCTCAGGAGGCTGCCCTGGGGCCGTAAGAGAGCCTTGCCGGGACTGGTGCTGTCTAAGTGCAGCTTAGCCAGCAGCTCAGCGCAGGGCGTTAGGGCTGGTCTCCACACTGCCACGTGACCAGGGTCACCACCTGCTTGTGTATGACACAGTGTTGGCCTGCTCCCCCAGCCTCCCTGGGAGGTCTTCACCACTGCTTTCTACCCAGGGTTGTGGGCAGTGTGTAATGTAGATGTTGCCTCCTGTGGTGAGCTGGCGTCTCTGGACCTTTCTTCAGGGAGAGTGTTAGGAGGGCTCGGCAGACCAAGCGTGTCTGTGACACCCTGGGCTCCTACCAGTGGTGTGCCTAGCTGTCACTATGTGGCTTTGTCAAATCGTTGCTTGGGACTTTCTTCTAGTCTGTCGTGGTTCTTGGGTTGATTGGCTCTAGAATTTACTTAGCAGCAGCAGTTTGGAGGAGCCCGTGTGTTGACGAAACCTCTTGTGAAGTGTTGGTGGCCGCGGTTCAGGAAGCCATCCTCTCTCTGCCTTGAAGCTTCCTCGTGCCAGCCCAGCCAGTCAGCATCCACTCCGACTACTGAGCCTTGCTGGGCGGTGGTCCTAAACTGCAGCAGAGGCCTGGGCCTTCCTGCCCATGCCTGTCCTGTCCTGTCAGCACTGTAGACTGCTCTCCTTGTTCGCTCAGTCCTGCATGCTTGTCCAGAGGGCCTGTTCTGCTTGGTGGCCAGTGGCTTGCTTACAGACTGAATGCTCTCGAGTGAAGTTCCAGGGAGCTCTCTCCTGAGACAGTATTTCTAGGTCTATAAGTATGTGACTCCTGTGCCACAGACAATGTCACCAACTCTTGAGTCCCACACCTGCCCTGGGCACTTGGGGAGGAGTGCATGGGAGGGTACTGTCAGTGTGCTCTCTCCTCTCAGGCTTCTGTCCCCAGCCCCATGCGTGAGTATGTGTGTATGTGTGTGTGTACATTCACACGAGCATGTGCACACAAGTGAGTGTTAGAGATTGACCTCTGCTTCATGTGTTAGGCAAATGCTCCATCACTGAACTGTGTCCCAGCCTTGTTGGAGTCTCAGCAGATAGCTCACGCTGTCCTTGTACTTACTTGGAGTCCTCCTGCCTCAGCCTTCTGGGTGCTTCCGGGTACTCAGAATATAGGTGTGCATAGCACGCTTAGCTTACAATTATACCTTGTTTCTTTCTGTGTGTGTGTGTGTGTGTGTGTGTGTGTGTGTGTGTGTTTGAGACGGCGTTTCTCTGTGTTGCCAGGCTGTCCTAGAATTAGACACTGAAACTCTGACTTCTGCCTGCCTCTCCCACCTAAGTGCTGGGGTAAAAGGTGTGCAGATTGCCGCCTGCCTTGGTGTTTAACTTTTATACTTTGAAGTGTTGAACATAAGGCCTTACACAGGATAGGCTGAGTCATATCCCTCCCCATAACCCTCATTCACTCACATGCCTTCTCACTGGCACACTCACACTCACTCTTACTCACACACTGGCGCATTCACAGTCACACACACTGGCTTCCTCACACACTGGCACATTTACAGTCATACTCTCACTCGTACTGGCACACTCACAGTCATACTCTCACTCACACACTGGCACACTCACTCATACTCACACACTCATGCTCACTCTCACCCACTGGCACACTCACACACTCACTCTCACATACTGGCACACTCACAGTCTCACTCACACATTGGCACACTCACACTCCTACTCACTCACATACTGGCACACTCACTCACACTCATACTATCACACAGTGGCACACTCACTCTCACTCAAACACACACTCAGACTCACACACTCACACTCACCCACTCAATCACACTCTCACTTTTACACTCACTCACACTCACTTGCTCACACATACACTCACACTGACTCACCCACTCATTCACACTCAGTCACTCACACTCTCACACATACTCACACTCACTCACTGTGTAGCCCTGGCTGGTGTGATATAGACCAGGTTGGCCCCGATCTCAGAGATGCAGGTTGCCTGCATCTGACTCAAGTTCTGAGATTGAACCAGGGCTTAGCTCACAGATCCGCCTGCCTCTGCCTCAGAGTGCTGGGATTAAAGGCGTGCCTCACCACCTCCTGGGTTACAGTTGTAAGTTTTAGAGAGAAGACTTCTGTGCGCTTTAAAATACTGCAGCTATCCATCCTTTGTTCTCTTGGGTGTTTACAGCTTCAGCCAAAGTGAGTTTACAGGAACAGATGGTAGTTGATTAAATCACAGAAACAATTTATACGGAAATTCAGGGCTTTTTTTTCAGTATTCAGAAATAGAATCTAAAACAGGATAATGTTTGTTGAAGACAAGGCTTGCTAGGTAGTAACCGTGGCTCTGCAGAGGCTTGGCTGTGTGCTCGTGGAGGAGAGCCAGGGCATGAAGACACAGGGTTCTTAGGCCACTCTGAACCAGGTTCTTGAGCGCACAGTGAGCCTGTCTGCAAGTACAGCAGGTCCTCTTCAGTATACAGATGATGATGTGGTCACGCCTCGTGAGAAGGGCTCCCTCAGGCTTCCTAGAGTCAGATATGATGTGGTTTTAGCAGGCACTGCAATGGCAGGTCACTCTTTAGCAGGGTGCATTTCTGGGAAAGCTGCTTTGTGGCCATTCATCCTTTTCTAGATAAAAGTCAGCTTTCTTCGTTACCCTGTACCCATGTGATTTTGTGTCTGTTGTGAAAGGTGTGTCAGTCATGGGCACTGGCCCCAGCTAAGATGGAGCCGTGCTGGGCTGTCTGGTGGGACGTCATCTGCAGACAGTGTACTGTGCAGCACCACGTGCAGCACCACGTGACTTAGTTCCCCGTGGACCAGAGCCCCCAGGACAGCCTCCATCTTTGCTGCTCCTTCTTGGGATCCCTGAGAAGCATCCTCCTACCCATCTTCTCTTATGCCACATTGTTCTTGTTCTGAGATTTCTACAAGTGTGAGTGTGCGTGTGAGTGTGTGTGTGCGCGTGCATGTACTGCTTCAGTACTGGGGACTGAACCGTCCTTGTGGAAGGGAAGGGCTCTACAACTGACCGTATCCCTGCCTGTCTTACTCTTGTTTGAGACAGGATATACTATGGAGGCCAGGCTGGTCTCAGACCCAGGCTTCTCAAGCTGTGTTAGGTTCCCAGTGTGGGGCTATGGACATGTCCCCCAGTGCCTGGCTTCTACAAGTTGTTTTTTTGTTTTTGTTTTTCAAGACAGGGCCTCTCTTAAATGGCCCTGGCTGTCCTGAAACTCACTCTGTAGACCAGGCTGGCCTGAACTCACAGAGATCCTCCTGCCTGTGCCTCCTGAGTGCTGGGATTAAAGGTGTGTGCCACCTTATTTTGATCTTTGAGACAGGACCTCACTATGTAGTGCTGGTTGGGGAATTCATAGAGATCTGTGTGCCTGTGACTCCTGAGGTGTGGAATTTAGGGTGTGGGCTAGTAGGCCCACTTTGACTTTCACAGGTTTTAATGTATGAAATTCCTACTTAAGGGTCTTAGGGAATGAGAGAACTGTTAGTTCAAAGTAGATTTTTATTTATGGGAAGACATGCTAAGAAGACAGCAAGAGTATACTAAGAAGTTATAAAAATGCCACACCTACAATTCTGTTGTACAGAGGTACTAAATACTAAAATCAATACATTTTATGATTTATTTCTGTTCAGAAACCCACTTTGAGAGCTTATGAAATGGCTCAGTTGGTAAAGGTAGTTGCCATTCAAGTGACCTGGAGTTTAATCTCCAGGACATACGTGGTGGACAGTTATCCTCTAAATACTGGAATACACGTGCAAGTGAATACACACGTGATCCGTGTAATTTAAAACAGAAACCCGTTGGGTTTATGCAGTAGGAACACCTTTTGTGGCAGTGTAAATGGGTCTCAGAATACAGTGAGCCTTGGGCAGTGCTGCTGGGGAACTGTCCGCTTGAGTCTTAGTCAGCCGTTGTCCATCTCCCCTGGGGTGCAGGTACTGAGAGGACAGCCTGCCACATCCGTTGATCAAGGGTTCCGCCCTGGCAGGCAGCTACTCCCCTGGGTCCTCAGGCTTCTAGGTGGTGGTAGGCGCCTGGACCAAGCCCACGTCTGTCTGCCCTGCTCCCTTGTCAGCTGTCACCCCAGTTGCTTAGAGAGAAAGCATCAACTGTGGTCCGTGTGAACCCAGGGACGGGAGGCGAGCGTCCTGCTATGGAGCACAGGACCTGAGGGCAGTAGGATCTGGCTGTGTGGGAGCTACATAGCATTTAGAGTCCTCTTCATGACAGATGGTGGGGTTGGTGTCTTCTTGTCCTCCTGGCACTCATGAGCCATTGGTAACAAGTTTTATTTTTCATTTTAAAGATGAGAAAGCTGAAGCTCGGGCTGGTTAAATGACTCGCTCAGCGTCCCATGGTGAGTCCGAGCGCCGGGCCGGGCCTAGCTGGCTGTGCGCCTTTTGAGGTTTTGGCAGACCTAGGAGGTGCTGCTGCCTGTGGAGATGGTTTTTATTTGGATCATCAACTGCATGTTTCAGATGTGCTGCCGACTTTTCGAGTCGTTTCCGAGATGTCTAGGATGTTAGTATTTTTAAGAGTCTGGAAGTCCTCATCCTGCAGCGGTATGTAACAGTTTAGCGAGCAGCACCAGGACAGGGGAGACTCGCTTCCATGGTGTCCTCCACAGCATCCTGTCCTTTTGGACATGTGACCCTCACCACCATAGTCTCTCTCATGCACAACAACTTGTGAAACTTTCCATATAAGTATCAAGGAGATTTCTCACACAATGCTAGGCTGTGCTTGAAAACATTGACTTTCACTCTTGACAGTTACTGGAAGCTGGCCTCGGCTCCCTCACACGCCCTGGCCAGCACCTGCTGTGTGCAGGAGCACCTGGGTTGCCGAGCATAATCCGTGGAGATGTGTGACCTAGAAATACTGTAGAGCAGGCTTGCGGGGCGGGGCCTGCCACTCGTGCTCCTGTGGCCTCATCTGCTTCTCTCTTTCTGTCTGACAGGCCTAGCCGCCCGGTGCCTCCCCTCTGCTCCTGCATGACGGGCAGCGCCTCCTCCGGCCCCTGCAGTGCTGTCCGCTGTCTAGCAGCCCTAGGAGCCTGTCAGCAGCACCCCTGGGACTGGCCCCTCCTTTCGGTGCTGCCGTCCTTTTGGGGTCTTGATTTCTGGATACATGTAGCTTTGCAAGATATGTACTTAGAAATACCAACCGTGTTAATAAGCCCATTAATGTGTAACACACACGTTTAACAGTTAGGAGAGAGTAGCTCTTCACCTTGAGGACAGGCGTTAGTGTCACCAGGTGTATTACAGTGGCATGGTAGTGACCTGTGCAGTCACTGAGCTGTAGGAGCGAGGCCTGGGCTGCACGTCCCTGTCGTCCTTAGAGACCTGGGCGGTGCCCTGCACAGGACCTCCCCAGTATACTACACACTGATGTAGATTTGCTGTGTAGTCTTGGTGTGGAAATTTAAATTCTGCTTTTCTCTACTAATCTGAAGTGCTCCGTGATGTGTGTATGTGTCTTTCTAACTTCTAATAAACTCACTCCAACTGACCTGTGTCTTGTGTCTGTCTGCTCTGTACATTTCTTGATCTTCTGGGGCGCTGGGCTGTGTGGGCTCTAGCAGCAGTTGGTTTCTGGGGTCCCCTGAGGGGCTGTTCTGAAGCTCAGTGCTACTGTACTTAGGTTTCCACTCTGCACTTGATTTCACGCCCAGACTGCCAGGTGTTTCCTTCCGTAGTGTCTGAGTTGGTTATGGGGACAGCTGGCCACTCTTCTACAGATATCTAAGACCTCTGACATTTGTATAAAAATGAGTGTTTTATTAAAAACTTGCAGTTGTGTAGGTGAGACTATCGGGAGGACACTGTCCGCATGAGGCCTGGTGTCCTTCCAGGTGCACACATGCTCATGCGACATGAAGATGCCTTAGTTCTTGTGATCCTTCGCTCTCCTTTGTCCTAGGACAGCAGTGGGCTCACTCTCCTCTGGGAATGTGGCAGCTTCTGCTTGGATTCTTCATTTTCAGAGGATTCCTGATTGTGGGTTGTTTTTAACATGTTCACGCACACTGCAGGCTGGTGGCTTCGGCAGGACTCACTTGCCAGCCAGTTGGGGTTGTTGGGCTGAGTGTGGGGCAGGAGGGGACACCCACAGCGTCACGCTTGTTCACGTGTTTTTCAGGATGGCACTGGATCTTTAAAGCGCAGTGGCTCCTTTAGCAAACTCCGGGCTTCCATTAGACGCAGCAGTGAGAAGCTGGTTAGGAAGCTGAAGGGAGGAAGCTCCCGGGACGGTGAGCCGAGGAACCCCGGGTAACTATCTCCCGAGCGCGCCCTCTTCCCGCCAGCGTCGGTACAGCCGCAGCCTCAGTCAGAGCCAGCCCTCCTGCAACTCAGAGTTGTCCCAGGAGGGCTTGGGTGCTCTGCCTGCTGCATTCCAGGGCAGGTTGAACCAGTTGGGAAGCTGGCCTGTAGTGTCTCAAAGGGAGTGATGGAGCGCCTTGATTCTGCTCAGAGCCTTCTTGATGACAAGTGGGAATTTAGTCTTACACTCCTGAGCCAGGTTGTTCATAGCTGGAGTCTCAGTGTTTGAGAGGCCAGCACAGGGTACAGTGAGACTCTCTCACAGAGTTAAAGTGGGGCCCAGGAAATGAATTAGGTGTTAAAGGCACTTGAACCTGTCGATCTACGTTGCAGGAGAACTGACTCCCAAAAGTTGTCCTTCGATCTCCACACATATGCCACAGTTCAAGGATGCGCGTTTACACACACACACACACACACACACACACACACACACACACAACCAGTCCAGGAAAATGGCTTTGTGTGTAAAGTGCTTTGACGCTCAAGCCTGAGGGCCTGAGTTTGGATCCCCGGGATTCATGCAGAAGGGGCCTGGTGTCGGATGTGTAGCCCCTGCACTAGGGGAAAGAAGGGGCGTGCGTGGTGTTGTGTGTGTAGCTCTGGCATTAGAGGAGATGGAGGAAATCAGATCTTGGCCAGCCAGTTACCTAAGTGGTCTGCTCTAGGTTCAAAGACTGTGTTATAAAGGGGAGAGTGATAGAAGACACCTAAAGATGACTTGGGGACCACACACACACTCTCATGTGCATACACACATACCACACAGATGCACACAGAACCTACAGAAGCTACCCAGTTGGCTTACACAGTACACAGCATCATTTTTTTTCTAAGTTCACATTGGCATAACTTCTCCAAAACTCACTTTCCAGAAGGAAAGCTATGATCACGTGGACTTAGCCAGGGATTACGGGGGAAAATGGTTTTTAATGAGGTTGAGTTTTGTGACTGTTATAAGGAGCACCTGAGGTTTTCAAAGCTCTAGGCTTCACTGGGGCTTTGAGTGGAGGGATCCATGTTGTCAAAGGAATTTTCTACAAGGGTCACAGGGAAGACTCAGACTTCTGCTGCTCTGTAACAAGCTGACATCCTCGTCCCTTTGTGCTGGCAGCTGCCCCCCTGGGACATTCTCTGGAGTCTTTTTTTTTTTTTTTCTTTTTCGATTTTTCGAGACAGGGTTTCTCTGTGTAGTCCTGGCTGTCCTGGAACTCACTCTGTAGACCAAGCTGGCCTCGAACTCAGAAATCCGCCTGTCTCTGCCTCCCAAGTGCTGGGATTAAAGGCGTGCGCCTCCACTGCCCAGCTTGTCTCTGGGGTCTTATCAGTCATTCTTTGTGTCCTAGACTTCTTGGATAGAGCCAGCTCAGCAGAACATGCACAGGGCTGCAGGTTTTAAAGGTGTCCCTGGTAGTACCCTGCTGCTCAGGACGCTCCCAGGCTCTGGTATGAGTTTGAGGTATTTGGAGACCATGTTGGAAGTGAGTGTTTTCAGAGCTGTTCTGCTGGCTTGTGCCTTCAGAAAGTGTCCACTTCCATTCTTAGGGTCACTTGCCTTAAGGCCCATGCCTCGCCCCCTGCCTGGGCTGACAGCTGGGCATGGAGCTACCATGGTCCCAGCTTGCCTTGTGCATGTGTCACACTCTTGGCTATGTCCCTCCAGAAATCTCTTTGGGTTCATAATGGATCTGGGAGACAGGTTGCCCTGAGGCAGGAGGTTCTCTGTGTGCGGGCCAGCTGCATCTGTAGAGGGTCTAAGGCGTTCACGACATCCATGAACACATGGAAGCTCCATTGTCTGAACACTGCCTGGAAGTTTGTGGGGCAGACTTGGTCCTGCTAGCCTCTGCCTGTGACGGCAGCCATTCCAGCAGTCTCTGGGATGGTGATTATGCCAAGCTTTAGCTAGAGAGAGAGTCAGAAAGGCAGCTCTTGTGTGACACCTGAGGGATAGAACTGTTTATTCCAGTACTGAGAGAGCATGGAGGATGCGGGGTGGTTTCTCTCAGGCTGAGCAGAGTACTTGGGATAAAATCCAGGGTCGTGCTTCTGCTGGGCACATGCTCCACTGTTGAGATTGTATGTGAGTGGCTGCAGCAAAGGAACTGTTGTCTTGACTGCTACATTTAGCATTTACATTTAGTTTTGGGGGAAGGTTTTTATTGTGAGTAAGAGAGAGAAAGTATGCAGAGGCATCTGGGAGAGTCAGAGAAGAATCGAGAGGAGAGACTTGTGCAGAGGGTAAGGGCAGGAGGTAAAGGACGCGCGTGGCGGACAGATCGTGTGAGTGAAGAGGACAAGCAGCTGAAGGGAGAGAAGCCCAAGGGACACCAGCTCTGACAGTGGAATGTGGAGTCAGTCCTTGTGACACTGAGGGAGCTGGGGTCAGCGTGGGCTTTGATGTGCTCACAGGTACCACAGGTAGCCCTGTGCCCTGCCAGAGGTAAGTGACTCCTGGCAGATGGAAACCCATTTCTCAGGTTCCTGAGAAATGCTGGCTTTTAATGGCCAGAAATCCTCCTAGAAAGCTTCTGTCCAGCCTGTGCTCCTCTCTAGACATATGGACACTCTGAGACCTACTAGAGCTGGGCTAGCCTGTGCTTCTTTCTAGACATATGGGCACTCTGAGACCTACTAGAGCTGGGCTAGCCTGTGCTTCTTTCTAGACATATGGGCACTCTGAGACCTACTAGAGCTGGGCTAGCCTGCGCTCCTCTCTAGGCATATGGGCACTCTGAGACCTACTAAAACTGGGCCAGCCTTTTGCTTTTATTTTTTTGAGGCAGGGACTTACTATGTAGCCCAGGCCAGCCTTGAGTTTGTGATCCTCTAACCTCAGCCACACTCGTAGTTGGGATTACAGGTCTGTATCCCCACACCTGACATGGGCCCACCTTTTGAGTGGTGGTTCTCTCCCTCTGGGAAACTCTGAAACGCCTAGTGTGCAAAGTCAGTTCTGGTACCACCTGCTCAAGACAGAGAGCTTAGAACTTTCCTCTTTCCCCTACCTTCCCTGTGGCTTCTGTGCTAACAGCCAGCAGCAGTGAGTGGCCATCCCTGCTGTTGGAGTGGGAGTGGTTTGTGTCATGGCAGTCAGACATGATGTGAAGTACATGTCACGTTGTGTGCCGCTGTTTCTGTGACCTGGGTTATACATCCAGAGTGTAAAACCGAGGCACCTTCCTCCTGCACCAGTGACCTTATCTAGTGACTCTCCATGTGTTTGCTCTGTCAGCTTCTAGAAGGACCCCAGGATTTGTCTTTCCAGGGTGTTCCCCGGTAGAGCCAGGCCTTCTGGCCCATGAGAATAGCTGCCCTGGGTGGACAGATTGACGCTAATGGTTGGCCACCCCGGAACACTCGGACCCTGGTAGTTTCCAGTATCATGGATCAGAGACGGAGTGCAGCGTGGGCCACTTTGCTGCCATCATTTATGAGGAAAAGGAGGACTGAGAGTCAAGTCTGTATAGCTTTCTTCTGAGAACTCAGTTGCTTCAATGAGTATGGTATGAACCCAGTGCTTGGGAGGCAGAGGCAGGCAGAGCTCTGAGTTCCAGGACAGACAGGGCTACACAGAGAGACCCTGTCTCAAAAAACCCAAATCCCAAAACCACCAGGATGAGTCAAGTCATAATTTGCATGTGATTTGTTTCTAGCAGTTTCCTGTAAAGCAAACCCTGTTCAGTCCCCCACCGGTGTGTGGCTGGGCCACCGTAGAGTGTTTCCATTCACCAGTGTGTGGCTGGGCCACAGTAAAATGTTTCCATTCAAGAACAGAGCTAGCCACTTGCTGGCGTTTGTTATAGCACCTGTGACCCATAGGCTGCAGCCTGCTCAGCCTGCCTCTGGCTGCTTTGCCTACTGCAGCTGTGTGCAGTTCACATTCAAAACCACAGGTCTGTTAGAAGACCCTGTCCACGTGGGCCTGTCCAACTGGGGCTGTACGTGTGCGGGCCATGCCTGGCTTCAGAGTTTGGTTTGCTTTTAAAAGAAAAAGTGTGTGTGGGGTGTTGTTTGTTTGCTCTATTTTGTCTTTTCAGACAGGGTCTCACTCTGTGGCCCTGACTAGGCCGGTCTCCAGCCTTACACCTACCTACCCCTCTGAGTGTCACACCACACTTGGCCTCAGAGTGATTTTCTAAGTAGACAAATAGAAACTTCAGTCTGTCTTGCTAATAGTCAAATAGTTTTTCTTTGTATTAATTTCCCAGCGATCCTGGAGTGTTTCTCTTGGGAGTAGTGAGCCCTTTGAGAGCCCAGACTCACCTGACAGGCAGCAGAGTTCTCGCCCCTGGCTGAGCAGTCTCAGAAGGTAGCAGGACTTGCTGCATGAATTCGTTCTGTAAGATGTACAGAGAATGGGGAATCCCCAGGCACTAAATCCAGTTACAGAAGGAACAGGTGAGAGAAAGGCCCACTCTCCAGGTCCCATGGTCCCCAATATTCCTAAGGCAGGAGAGGTTACCTTAGGTGTTTCCTGTTTTGGTTGACAATGTGCTGACAGGTTTGTCTTGCATGTCCATGTCTGGGTTGCAGTATGAAGCGTGTCAGTTCTCTGAGCGTTCTTAATGCGGGCGGCAAAGCCACAGAAGATTGCTTCCAAGTAAGGAGCCTGCCCTGCTCGTGTCCTAGCTCCCTGGCCCTGCACTCACCCCTCTGTGACGGGCTGATATCTGGTGTCTCACTGCATATCACTGGGGTTGCCTTCAGAACGCCAGCTGGTGATGCAGCCCTCTAAGGGTAGCTTGAGCGGGGTACTGTGTTCACCAGCAGTAGTGTCACAGTGATGGAGCCCTCCAAGGGTAGCTTGAGCGGGGTACTGTGTTCACCAGCAGTAGTGTCACAGTTGAAGCAGTTTCCTTGTAGGATTAAGATGTCTGTAACTGCTGTCCCCGTGCAGCTCGGCAGAGTGGCCTTTCTTTTCCTTTCTGTGACCTGAATTGGCAACTGGGTGTGGCCATCAGCTGTGCTCTAGAACCTGCCCCATTGCTTGTATGCTCTGAGTATCCCGACAGCCGGAGGAGTGTTCTGACTAACTGCTGCCACACAGAGCTCAGTCCAAGGGGACAGACTCTCTGCCCATCACACCTGAGGAGGCCACAGCTCTTTCAGTGGGCCAGATTTAACTAATAAGGTGTCAGCTGTCACCCTAGCCCCAAGCAGAGGCCGAAGGATACTTTAAGACAGAGGGTGTGTGCTCCAGGCACCTGGCCTGGGAGTTAGAGATTGATTTTTGATGCTGGGATACACTGAGGCTGCTGCTCACTAAACACTAAACACATACCCGGTAGAGCTGCACTCAACCCTGAGCTGTACCTCTAATGCAAATGTTTACTGTTTTTACATGCATATATTTGGGATCAGAGGTCATACTGCTTAATGGTGATCTCCATAGAAGTATTGATTAATTTTAATTTTTCCATTTGCTTTTTTACACAGGAACGAAATAATGGTCTGGCAGACTCGAGAACACTGAGCGCCAGCCACACTGACCTCGCCCACTGAGGGCTGGGGCTGACCTAGATAGGATCCTGAGATATGAAACACTGACCGCCTGAGGCCCTGGCAGTTCCTCAGCTTGCCCAGGAGGGAGCTTGTCCTCTTGGTTGTAGTGGGCTTTCTTTCTAGATGGGGATGTTCACCAAGAGCTGCAGGCTGTTGCTTAAAAAGTGCCTGGCAGCCATGCCCCAGAATTCTGTTGCTTGATCTGCATCTGTGCCTGGGGCTGCTTATGGCCAGAGCCAGTAGCGCCGTGGCCAGGGAGGCAAGCCAGGCGACAGCTGGTGGCCTAGGCATGTGTGGATCAGCTGCTGCATGCGACTTCTGCCAGCCACGCTGTTGTGACACCTAGATCTAGTTAAAATTTAACACTGAGAAAGCTGTGAAGTAAGAATCAGAGCTTAAATCACTTCCTTCAGACGAAGCGTGCACAGTGGCCTACCCGTGTCTCTTTAGCTTCATGTGTAGAAGGCAGAGACAGAGAGGCAGTGCACGGAGGACTGCTTCCCACAGGGCTCTGTAGACCTCCTGCTGTTGGGTCAGTGGTGGTGGTGGGCACCTGGGATATGCTAAGCATACAGAAGCTTTTTCATGGGTGTGTTTGACAATGTTCCGATCGACCTATGGCAATGTATGAGCCTAACTTAAAGCTCCAAGAACTCAGGCCAGAAGCAGTGGACTTGCCGGCCCACAGTAGGGCAGTGGGATGTGGCCTGTGGGTTGCAGGGACTCTGTCTCAGCCTCACATCAGTCTGAGGAACTGCATGGCTCCCATAAAACACCAAGGTTTGGGCTTGTGTTAAACATTCATTAACTGATCACAGCCAGTTACAGAGTTTCTTAGGCCAGGTGTGGTGGCACACAACTTTAATCTCAGCACTCAAGAGACAGAGGAAGGTGGGACTCCAGGCCAGCCTGGTCTACAGAGTGAGTTCCAGGCCAGCTAGAGCTACACAGAGAAACCCTGTCTTAAGGTAGAGTACATGGTTGGGGCTGAGGAGATGGATAAGCAGGCAAAGCTCTTGCCATACCAGTGTGAGTTCCTCAGAATCCTTGGAAAGATTCAGTGGCTATGGGGCCTCCTGGGATCCAGGCCTGCAGAAAGCAGAGACAGAATCTTGGAGCAAGTTGGCTGGCCTGACCAGCTGACCTTGCTTCAGAGGAGCACTCTGGGAACTTGTATGCACTCAACACTGTGCAAGGTTCTGTGGACTTAATGTTCTCAGGAGAAAAGCAGGGCCCAGCTGTCCCTTTCACATTGTTCTTCTCAAGAAAGGGACGTGTCATCAGCCTGCTGTGGTTATTACTGGGAAGCTCGTGGGTGGTGCATGGTCCTAGGTGTGGGGTGTTGGAAGACTTCAGATAGGAATTTTCTGGAAAGCTGCTAGAGATGTCATGTAGAAAGTCTGTGTGAGTGTGTGTGTGTGTGTGTGTGTGTGTAAGAATGGCTGTGTGGAGATCAGGATAACTCTGCATTCATTCCGTTCTCCTCAGTTCTAGAGAGTGAACCTAGGTTGCCGTTGTGCTGCAAATTCCTTTCCTCTCTGCGCCATCTTGCCAGCCTGAGGAAATGAACGTTCTTAGGAATATATACTGAAATAACTGCTAGAGATGTGTGCTTACAGCTCATGTAGCCCTACGGGGCACGTGAGCCTAGTTTCTGTCTCCTACGTCTTCACTTGGTCTTGTCCTGATTGTCCCTGGGGTGTAGGTGAGCAGGAATCCGGGCAGCTAGCTGGCTGTTGTAAATGCAGGTACAACATGTTGGCAAGGTGTTCCCATATCCTGAAAGATACTCTCGACTTATCAGGTGGACCAATGTTGGGGTGGACCTTCAGGGCCCCTTGACCTGGCTGGTGGATCCAAGCCCTAGGAGCTTTTGGGCATGTCTTCTAAGTGTGTCTGTCTGGGAACTGTCTTTTAATTTTCAATACAATCTCTTCAGAAAAGAATTTGGAAGTGTTGATACTTTGTTACAAAACTAAAGCTTTATTTCCCGCCATAAAGCCCTCCGGTTTTGCAGAGGTGTGTTATATGAACCTCCTCTACCCAAGCAGCTGTGTCCCTCGTTTACTTCAGTCTCCTCAGCCTCTCAGGCCGTGTCAGCGGGCTGCAGCTCAGTGTAGAGCACTTGCATGCAGGAGACCCTAGGTTTAGTCTGCAAGATTGCCAAAAGCGGGGTAGGAACCCCGGGGGCTGTAAACGTTTGATGAGTTCAGAAGAGCGTGGGGCCGCCCTGTGGATGTCATGGAATATATCATAAGTGGGTTGTTTTCCCTATTTGAGTGGGGACAGTGACAGTGCATGTCCTGGTGTGGGGAGTCAGACACCACTGGAGCAACAGGACTCCTTGGTGAAGCCCACTCGGCACACTTGCTGGTGGGAGGCTGTGCTACCTGGCAGGATCTTCAACACCACAGCCCTGTCTTCAGAGGCCACAGTGCTTGGTGACTGTTGAGACTCAAGTCTACACGGTGCTGATTCTGAGTGCAGAGCGAATGTCACCAGGAGGCCTGCCCGCCGGGTGAGCGTGTGCAGTCCTGTTGGGTGTTCTGTGGTACCCTCCAGCCTGCATGCACTGGCAAGCCAGAGTTGCTGGGTATACTAGCCAGGCCTCAGTGAGGACACAGAAGCCTAGGGCCCTTTTTATAAGTTGCCCAAAGCTACTTAGTCTAGGCAGCTGAGTCAGGCTAGGCCCGCCTCCCTTCCTCAGAGTGTTTTCTTCACTCTGTCCTAAAATGTTGTATATGTATGGGGAGGGACACATGGGGGAGAATCTCACTGCAAGCCACGTTTGGCCCGAGTGGTGGGTGTTACTGCGCGTGCGTGTGCGTGTGTGTGTAGTGGGGGCCGAGGGGAGTTAAGACCATCCTGCAGGAGGGGAGGCCCCGCCAAGCTGCTGACTGAGTCCCAGACAAAAAGCAGAAAAAAGAGGGAAGAGCTGAGTCTTGCCATTCTGAGGTCCCAGGGAGACCCTCAGGGCTGGCAGAGCTCCTGTTGGTTGGTCATCCTCTAATGGGTAGTGTGAGGCCAAACCCCAAGGCTCAAGAGTAGGTGAACCCCAGGGAGGAGAGAGTAGATACTGACTGTCACTCGGTGCCTGACACAGGTTGTTGGAAGGCGACCTCAGAATCTACTGGCCCCACTGTTAGTAGGACTCCGTTCCTGGAATCCCTCTAATGCCTTCCTCACTGACTGTGTAGCAACAGGAGGAGAGGGGTAGGTGGGGGGCAGAGAGCACTCGGAGAGTTCGAGCTGGGCTTCTGGACAAGCCTGTGGTAACATCATCCTCACGGAGCCGGTCAGCCATCAGTTGCATCAGGAGCTGATTAGCCCAGGTGATGCCAAGGGCTGGAGAGAGGCGCTCGTCCCAAGCCCTGAGACACAAAATGGGTGTTGGTGCTTGTACACCCCACCCCACCCCACCCCAGTGTTTGGCATGCCGAGGTGTCCACACTCACCCCAGTGACCTGGGCACAGACTCCTGGCCCTCCACCATTTCTGTTACCTGAAAAAAGCAAGTGAGGGTTAGCGACAGCGTCCACCTCAGTCGCCTCCCTTCCGGCCAGCCGCTTGCTTTCCCCACGGTCGGGGGCAGCGCTCTGCCTTCCGGCCAGCCACACCTACCTGGTTGATGCACAGCACCGGGCTCCGGAAGGTGCTGCTCAGCCTAAGAAGCGCGGCCCCCAGCGAGTGCAGGTGCTTCGCCCTGACAGCCGAGGCCTGAAGATGGAACTCACATCGAAACGGGGCCGCGATGGAGTCAACCACCACCAGGCGGGCCATGCCCCTCGACAGCAGAGCGGGGACCTTCTTAGTCACACACTCCAGCAAGGTGTCCTGTGGGGGACACGTCACGGTCTAGGCTGACGCCACCCGCCAGTGGCCTCCACGTGCTCAGAACTCCCTGACTAGCTTTTTGACATTAGCTGCCTCCTGCCCACCCGGGGTGAAGACTCACACCTGGACCTTCACCCACTGCAGTCACTGCACTTCAGTCCACTGCAGACACTGAGGACACCCAGCCCAGCTACAGCTCCGTGGCTGACGCGGTCACCTCAGTAGGCTGTAGTGTAGAGAGCAGCTCTGCTTGGTCTTGCTTGAGTAGGATGTGTGCAGGATGTGTGTGTATGGGGAGGTAGGTGCCTTCCAGGTCTCTGTGTTGATGGGGCAGGCCAGACCTGCTGTGGTAGGATGGAGTAGTGGTTTGGGAGTCTTTTCTGCACACATCAGGTACCATCCACTCCTAAAGGAGTTGGAACCCTGCACCATTCCCAGTGGCTGTTCCCTGGAGAAATGCTATTGGGGACAGAGAAGGGATGGCTCCAGGGTCATCTCCCCTGCTGCCCTCTCCGGGGCCCTAGGCTTTCTTGGGGCCACTGTGCCCTGTTTGGCACTGGACTTGGGTGACTTTTGATGTGGTTAAGTGGCCCAGGTGACAAGGTAGGCTTGTATGGCGACAGTAGATGCTGCTGTCAGAGGAAGGTCTTGCTAGTGACCGTGTGGCTACAACAGGGCTTGAGGTCTCAGCCAGGGCCTTCGTATTGTTCCTGAGTTCAGGGTCTTCATGCAGTCTTGGCTGGCCAAGCAGGGAGCCCAACACCAACTCACTGGCAGCTGTGAGGAGCTGTCAGATTCCAGCATCCGGCCGGGCGTGAAATTCAGTCTGTACTTCTCTCTAGGGCGTCCCCCGCAGAGCCTCTTTGTGTGGAGAACGACACCAGCAGCCTAGAAGACGCTAGCACTAATGTGAGTGTCTGTGCCTCCCTCAGCCAGGGCCTGGGCACCTCGGGATGGCGGGGATGGCGGGAAGAGGTGGGAGGAGGCCAGGTGTGGGCCATTGTTCTCCTCATGCACAGGAGGGGAGGTTCTGTGTCCACATCCTGTGGCTGTGAGGCTGGCACTGACCACTCCCGCTGGGCAGACCCTATGGCAGGAGGAGGTGGAGCTGCTTCAGTGGCCACCTGACCTATAGCTTTCTCTTACAGTGACCTGAGCCTGGTCTGCTTTAAACACCATGCTGCTGCTGCTGCTGCTGGCTCCAGAGCTGGCCCTGTGAAGGCCAGGGTGGGGCCGGGAGGGCCGTGGCCGGGGTCCGCAGTGCTAACTTAGCTCCCCTGCCCATTCATATGCTGTGGAGCTCATACTAATAACTATACACCACTAGTAGGGTCTTGGAGAGCAACTCTCAGTCCATAAGGCTGCTGACCTGGCCCCCGGCTCCTTCCTGGGAGGCCCACGGACAGGACAGGTCCAGCTCCTGCTGCTTCTGCCTGGCCTTTCTGTGGAACTTCTTATGTGTGTAGTTCTGTGTCGTGTGTGATAATGTATTTTATTGTACATTTTTTAAAATTAAAAAGTTTATATGCCTTACCGTCTACCAGAATGAAGGTCTGTTCTTAACTATTTTTTAAAAATTAAACTTTTTATTATCATGCATGTGAGTGAGTGCCTGCCAGGGTGAGGGTGTTAAGGTCAGAGGGCACATTGGGGTCAGTCGAGCCAGCTTGAGGTCCTCTCAGAGCTCTTAACTCCTGGCCTAGCAAAGTGACAGCCAAGATGGACATGCTGAGGACATCTTGTCCTGGTCACTATCCAGCTTCCTGCTGCTAGAACTGAGCCCAGCCTGGCCAGCTTCTCCGCCAGCAGGTAAGCCCCAGGCTCAGGCAGGGTCACCAGAGAAGAGCAGCAGGAGGGGGGTTTGTGGTGGCTTGTCTGTTCTCTGTACCCCCACCTAGAGGACACCTTTGCTGTATGTCTGTGGCCTCCCTTCCTTCTCTTCTTCCTGGGTTGATTGACCCAGTTAGGTCTGTGTCTCAGGTAATGAATAAGGATGTTGGTTCAAAGATAGGATGAGGGGCAGGTTATACAAGAACTTGACTAGTAAGGTTTTTATTGTTTGAGACAGGTCTCACTGTGTAGCCCTGGCTGGCCTCAGACTAAGATTTCTCCTGTTTCTCCCTCCCAAGGGCTGAGATCAAAATACGCCATTACGCCCAGCTTGACCAGTTTTTGCATTAAATCCCCATGTTGGAGAGTGTGTTATTCATCAACCCAGAATCCTCAAATGCCTGGCTCACAGGTACCTCAGGGACAGCAGGCTTCCTGCTGTGTTTTTAGAAGGAGCACTTCCATGGCCATCACCCTATGGGAGTCTGACGCCTCCTCTTCCTGACTTTACCCTGAGCTGAGCATGGTCTCTGCACAGGTGACACTGGGTGAGTCGCTGGGCCATCGGTGTCACCAGCAGGCACTCACCACGTCAGCCGCATGCTCAATGAAGATGTGGTTGCCGAACCTTATCTTCTGTGTCACCTCCACCGGCACATCTGTCCGCAGCTTCGGCTGCTGGTCAATGAGCTGCCACAGCCGCTTGCTGGGGAAGGCGTCTTCTGTGCAGATGTAGACAGCCCCTGAGAAGCCAGAGTGCCCAGCGTGCTCAGGAAACAGAAGTGGACCCATGGCTACACAGACCAAATGGAGTCTTCTGCCTGTCCCTACTTCTGTCCCCTTATGAGTTTTTCTCCAAAAGGTCAGCAGGTTAGACCCTGTGGCTACCTTGCTGGTTCCTTAGGCATGCAGGCTAGGCCTGTCCTGACACCTGAGTACACACATCTGCGTTCCTGAATACCCTGCTACCTCATGCCTGCTCTCCAGTTCCTCACCAGGCTGGGCAGGACGGAGGGTGGACCAGGGTTAAGGGACTCTGAGACATGTTCCTGATTGAGGACAACTCACAGGCTCCTGCCTCTCTCTCTCTGTGACTACTTGATGAGGCTGGTGCCTTCCTGGTAAGTACAAGAGTGGGTGAACAGGCACCCAAGACACCCCGAACACAAACAGTCCTTGTGCCATATGCTACAGAGCCAAAGGCCACCCAGATCCTGCTACTGAATAGAGCCGGACACCAGCAGGGAGCCCTGTGTGTGGGCAGCAGGTGCCTCCCCTGGGACTGCTGGAATCCACATGATTAGTTCTAGAACTTGAGGAGAAAGAGCCCAGTGGCTTGTCAAAGCAGAGAGTAAGGAAACGTGCTTTGTAAGATAAACACTGTCCATGTTTCAAAGGACTCACTCAGATAAGAAAGCAAAGGTCATCCACAGAGGGGGAAACGGCCGACAATATTCTGGACTTAATGTAAGTACTTAAAAATTGCTCAAACAGGGGCTTACTTCTCAGCCAGACTCACATGGAGCCAGCTTGGCTCCAGCCTGCATCCATCTTCCTGCGCCTGCATCCTGAGGGCCTGGGGCTACAGGCCTGCGCCACCATGACTGGTGTGGAAGATTCAGTAGGCAAAGGGCTCTGGGTCTTCTGGGAGTGGTGACCTGACAGAAGGCACTCAGAGGCTGACAGCACATAGCTACAGACCTCTGGAATGCTGGGAACACTGGCACTGCCTTCACCACCAGGAGCAGCTATTGTACAAGGCGGCCTCAATGAGAACGAGGGAAACTGGAGCCTTCAAGTATGGCTTTTGTGACAGAAACCAATGTGAACTGGTGTTGTGAAGCCCCAGCCAGTGAAGAACCGGGTGAAGCTTCCCGTCTTGGGCACAGGACCCAAGGTGTAAATGGCACAGACCACGGCTTTTGTTTTGTGTTCTGAAACAGGGTTTCTGTGGGTGATAGAGTCCTGGCTGTCCTGGCCTTGCTTTGTAGATCAGGCTGACCTCGAACTCAGAGTCCACTTCCCTCTGCCCTCTGAGCACTGGGATTCAAGGCGTGTGTCACCACGCCTGGCTCAGCCACAGCTTGTTTTGCAGCTATGACCATCAGTCCACAGAGGGCCCAGGCAGAGTCTCCCTGTATCAAAGCCATATGACCAGAAGGGAAAGGCCTCGTGTTCTCTGCCCTACCTGTCTGGTTCTGTGGGTCTGGGTGCAGGGGTGAGGTACCTCAGCCTGAGGTGTGTAGTAACTGTAGGACCAGTTGGTACCCCTGCCTCCTGCTGACAGCCTAGTACAGCTTCACCTCCCACTTACTCTTCTGGAAGAAGAAAGACAATGGGAAAACACCCAAGAGATAGCCACTGCCTCCCAGAGAGGAAAGCAGCCCCCAGAGCAGGACAGGGGTCCGAGTCTGCCTCGGGTCTTGCCTCCCCTACCCTTCAGGAAGGGGAGCCACTCACCAGCCTCCAGGCCTCCATATTGTCGTGGGAACTGCACAGCTAGGCAGAGCTGCAGCGCCAGCTGCGTCTTTCCTGCTGAGCTGCAGCCAGCCAGGCCAGTGATGCCCTCCAGGGGCAGGCCTCCTCCCAGGAACTGATCCAGGACAGGGCAGCCTAGGCTCAGGCGTTGATGCTGCTCAGGGAAGTTTTCCCTCTGCTGGAACAGATGCAGTGCTGCAGGGAGCAGGGGTTAGGCTGGGTCAGGAGTCTAGCTTGTGCCCCACCCACAGCCTGCACCCCACCCACAGCCTGCGCCCCTCCCACGGCCTGCTAGGGCCTGTGAGCCTGAGGCCTTCAAGGAAGCACTGGCTCCACATGCAACATGGGTGAAGGACTGGCAAAACCATGACACATGGGTGCGTGCACGCCCACACGCACACACACACACACACACACACTCAAAGTGCCAAGGTCAGAAGGCAGGCCGCCTGGTTGTGCAGCTGAGTACAATGCTGTCCCTGTCACACTTCCCAGGCGGGCAAAGCTGCTGAAGAAACTTAGTTCAGGTGTAGTGGTCTACACATTTAATCCCAGCACTTGGGAGGCAGAAGCATCTCGGTGAGTTTGAGGCTAGCCTGAGCTACATAGAGTGCCAGAGCAATCAGAAGTACATAGAGTGTCCATCAGAGGGGGTGGGGGGACTTAAGCTCCAGAGCGTAGCAATGTAGCAGGGGGCCCTCAGCAGGAAGAGAGAATGAGCAGCAGCCTGTGACAGTGATGGTGACAGTTCTGAGCGGCAAAGCCTCAGCTTAGATTGTCAGTGAGGCAAAGCCGTCATGTGGAAGCCATGTCCCGAGGAGGCAGGATTTCTCTCAGCTGCCCCTACCACACTACTGGGACCTAATTTTGTCCTTTACTGTGAGGCTCTCCTTGGAGGGGGGGCAGGTACTCCAGGAGGACTTTGTAGAGAGGCTGAAGTCATGTGACTCGACTGCTCACTGCTCTGCGATACGGGTTTTTTTGTGAGCTCTGGACCAAGTCACTTGGTCTGTATCCTCGGGGAGGGTCACAGCGTGCTCAGGGCAACTGCTTCGAAGTCATTCCCCAGAAAGACTCTGGAGCCTGTGGGTAGTGTCCACCCAGGCCTGGGCCCTCAGCACCCCAGCCGCTAGCCCCGGTGCCCGCCAGCATGTGTGCCTCCCTGCCTACCTGTGAGGACGCGGCTTCCCCGAAGGTGTAGAGCGGCTGCTCTCAGCAGGCGATGCACGTCGTGGCTGGGCAGGCTGGTGAGCCTCTGCAAGTCTGCTCCCGAGTAGCACAGAACTTCCTTCACTGACTTCAGCCTGCCTGAAGTCACACAGATAGACCACAGCAAGTCAGGGCACTCACCCACGGTGGGAGGTGGGGACGGAGCTGGACCTGGGACAAATTCTGGATTCGCCCAGAAAATCTTAGGGAGTGTGACTGGTGGGTGGAGAGGGAAGGGAAGGAGGGCCTGCTGGCGCTGGGGCACCCTTGTAACCTAGGCCTGATCTTCTGTCAGCAGTGGCAGGAGGCAGAGAATGAATCCTGGGTGCTGTGAGGATGTGACTATCACCGTGTCCCACCCTTTGTCCACAGTCCCAGCTACTTGGAAGGCTGAGGCAGGAGGATCACTTGCACTCAGGATTCAAGGCCAGTTTAAGCTACACAGTAAGACCCTGTATTTTAAAAACAAAAAAAGCATGAATGGTGAGTTGGGGGTGTGGCCTAAGAGAGTGCCTGCTGACCTTGCACAAAGCCCTGGAGTTGGCTGACAATGACAGAGAGAGAGAGAGAGAGAGAGAGAGAGAGAGAGAGAG